GACGCAACAAACTCAAAGAATTCTTCAAAATCGCCAAGCAGGCGAAAGAAGATATCATCAATGAGGAATACAAAGCCCTACTTAGGGACTACAAAAAGGAAATACGCAAGGCGCAGAGAAACTCATGGAGAAACTTCTGCTCCAATATAGAGACTGCCCCGGAAACGGCTAGACTCCGAAAGCTGCTATCGAATCAGCCAACCATACAGAGCCAGCTCAAACGCGACGACTGACAGTGGACTGAGGGCAGCGAAGAGGCCCAAACAGCACTAATGCATGCGCATTTCCCAGGATGCACTGAGGTACCCGATGCAAATAAGCACCAGGACCTAGCAACTGGGCGAGGCGGCACTACATTCGTTGGTAGCCACCATTGAGAGAGCCCTAAACAATAAGGAGTATGCACTTGGAGTGTTCGTGGACATATCCGGGGCATTCAACAACGTTAGCACGGACGCAATAATGGATCGCCTAGAAGCGACCAACTCATCCCCCGCTATCAACTTGTGGATAAAAAATCTTCGAAGTTGCCGGCGGGTACAATCAGATTGGGGCCCCGCTTCCATGGTGAGAGAAGCGCACAGAGGCACGCCGCAAGGTGGGGTTCTGTCGCCCCTCCTATGGAATCTGGTGGTAGACGACCTAATCAAGAGATTCGAGAGGAAAGCACCAAAGATAACAGCTTATGCGGATGACATAAGCATAATTATCACGGGAGTCTGTCCATCGACCCTCAGCTCGATCATGGAAACAACACTTAGGGAGATATGTGAGTCGGCGGAGAAGGTAGGACTCAATATCAATGCGGAGAAGACGGACCTTATTCTCTTCACCAAGAGATACAAGGTGCCACAATGGATCCCCCCGAAAAATAACAAAAACCAGGCCCTGAAACACAAGTCAAATACCTCGGCATTGTACTTGACAGCAAGCTGACGTGGAAGGCAAATGTAGTAGAGAGGGTAAAAAAGGCGACCATAGCGCTATATGCATCTAAAAAGATGCTTAGCAGCACATGGGGCCTCTCACCCTAATGCATTGGGTCTACATATCGGTGGTGCGTCCGACTCTGCTGTATGGAGTCTTAGTGTGGTGGCAAGCCACGGAGAAGAAAACGTATAATAAGCTTATGGAGAGAATCCAGCGGCAGGCACTGCTCTGCATATCAGGGACGCTGAGGTCAACCCCCACCAAAGCACTCGAAACCATAATCGGTATATATCCACTAGATATCCAAGCGCAACTTACAGCAGGAAAGGCGGCACAACGTCTGGTTGCATCAGGAAACTGGTCGCTACAAGGTTTCGGGCACAGTTCAATTGGTCGACACATGAGCAGTACATCTGACTACATGATACCCAAAACGTGCCCACATGTAAACACAACAGTATTCATGGGACCAAATGATTGGAAGTCAAGCCAGGACCATGCTCAATACCTCAATATATACACCGACGGCTCCAAGATGGAAGGAGGAGTTGGAGCGGGCATATACTGTTCAGACCCTGAAATGAGGCTGTCGTATAAGCTACCAAGCTACTGCAGTATATTCCAGGCGGAAGTATTCGCCATCAGAATAGCAGCAGAGCTTGCGCAGAGCATAAACCGTCCACATGAGGCGGTCAATTTGTTCGTAGACAGTCAAGCGGCGATAAGATCCATGCAATCATCAGCGGTCAGTTCCAAAAATGTACTGGCAAGCAGGGAGTCACTAGATAGCCTGAGCACGACTAAGTCAGTGAGGATCTACTGCGTTCCCAGCCACCAAGGCATAGACGGTAACGAAGCCGCGGACGAACTTGCAAAGGAAGGCGTTGGACTGGCGAGTGAAAGAACAGAAAACTTCCCTATCTCCCTAAGAACGCTCCAAAGCGAGCTAGAGAGACGGGCTGACGCAAGCGCAAAAAGCAGGTGGAGGAGTAATTCCGCAACCTGCAGGATATCAAAAATCATGTGCAAAGACCACAACGAGAAACTCACCCACTACGTGCTGCATCTTCCGCGGAAGGACTGCAGAATGTTAGTGGGTATTCTTACAGGTCACTGCCTGTCTGCTGCACATGCAGTCAAGCTGGGTATGACCGACAACGCCAAATGCCGGAAATGTGATGAATCCGAGGCAATCGAAACCTTGGAGCATCTCATTTGCAAATGTCCGGCCCTAACGAGGGGAAGAATGGTCGCCTGCAGCATGGCTGGGAATATTCCATCTAGTCCTGGTGCTTTTATCCTCGCAAAGGAGTCTATAGCCCAGAGGATTCTACTAGAGGATATTAGATCTTTTGGGAGATGCTCTACTCCAGTTGCTAGGTCCTGGTGCTTATTTGCATCGGGTATCTCAGTGCATCCTGGGAAATGCGCATGCATTAATGCTGGCCTCTTCGCTGCCCTCAGTCCACTGTCCGTCGTCGCGTTTGAGCTGACTCTGTATGATTGGCTGCTTCGATAGCAGCTTCCGGAGTCTAGCTGTTTCCGGAGCAGTCTCTATTAGTGCTGGAAAAACATCGATGTTTGCTTACATCGATGTTTGTGAGTACTTTCATAAAAAACATCGATTAATAATCGATGTTTATAAAAAAGGAAATCTATTTTGTTCTGCCTAAGTTTATTTGATATTATTTAGGAAATGGTGTTGACTGCTCATCGCTGGAGTGTTTGGATAAATTAATACAAATAAAGCTTGAACTCCAAAGCAATTGCTGCCTGCTCGGCATTCCGGCTTGAAAAAAAAACCCAGTTTTTTGATCTAGTATGCCAATTTTGCCATCTTGCTCGGTTTTCAAGTGACAGTTAAAACTAATCGATGTTTAACGAGTAAACATCGATGTTGGACGATTTTTTAGAAACATCGATTGTATCGAATAAACATCGATGTTTGTTCCAGCACTAGTCTCTATATTGGAGCAGAAGTTTCTCCAGAGTTTCTTTGCGCCTTGCGTATTTCTTTCTTGTAGTCCTTTAGTAGGACTTTGTATTCCTCATTGATGATATCATATTTCGCCTGCTTGGCGATTTTGAAGAATTCTTTGAGTTTGTTGCGTCGGTGTGAAAGGTCCACCAGGGTGGCCTCTCGTATCCGATATAGGGCATGATGCGTGGTACGCATCCAGCAGTTCTTTGGAGAGGGTCTCTAGGGACTTTTCTATGTCTTCCGCGGATTCTACTATGCCCGGAGAGATCGCGAGCCGTGTCGCGATAGCCTCCTTGAACTTTCCCCAGTTAGTATTCCGGGGGTTCCTGACTGATTGTTTTGGAGAGTGTTCGAATGCGTATTGGAACCGTATGTACTTATGATCTGAGAAGGATGGTCTCTCAAGGACTCTCCATTCTGATACCAAAGTCCCCTTACCAGAGTAAGATCTAGCACGTTTGAGGAGGTGGGACCTACATAGGTGTGTTCCTCCCCCACGTTTGCTATTCCCAGGTTGGTTGAGAGCATAAAGTCTAAGAGGGACTCACCTCTGTCGTTTATGTCGGGGCTCCCCCATACGCAGTGGTGCGCGTTGGCGTCCGCACCCACGAGCAGTTGCTGGTCCTTCGGGCTGGCTTCTACCAAGCTCATGAGTTCTTCTGGTAGGGCCGTCCTGTCGTGTGCCATGTAGCAGGAAGCTACCAAAAGGCGCTTTTTCCCGCTCTCTAGCATCACCACGGTCAGGTCATCAGAGCTGTAGTGAGACATAAGGTTAGCGTGTAGACCCTTCCGTACAAGTACGGCGGTTCTATTCCTGCTTACCGTTGGTGGATGGAGCAAATTGTAATTTGCGGACTTCAGTCCGGCGATGGCATTGCCTGAGGCGATCCATGGCTCCTGGACCAAAGCTATGTCGGCGGATCCTTGCTCCATGGGTATGAGGTGTTCCGCCGACATGAATTAAATGACAAGGAATTTTAGTTTTTCTAATGATTTTTCTCTAACAAAGAGCAAATTCCCCGAAGAGTGTCTATAGGTGGTATAGCCATCCAAAATCTTTAAAATAAGGTAGAGGCAGGGGGTTTATATTAAATAGTAACCATTGGGTACATATTGGGGCAAGAATATACAGAAAAAACGCCAACAACTATTTTGGGCATGCTTGTAGCTCTGGCGCCACATTTTAAATTCCATTTCTCATTTGTTCCTCGCCAAGTGTGTATACACTTTCGTAGTGATGGTCAAATTTTCAGAGTTGCACCGAAAAACTATCGCCAAACAAACCGTGGTTAGATTTTAATTCGTTCTAACGGCGGTCCATTTGGTAAAATTTGGAACGGCAAAACCTTATGGACCGTTTCTTCAACGGACAGTGAATGCGCTTTGACGGTGTGTGGGAAGACCCTATTATGGACCGTTTGTGCAACGGACGGTGGATGTGCTTTGACGGTGTGTGGGAAGACCCTATTAGATACCAGTTTAGTTCTATAAAAGAAGTACTGCCCTAATGAACAAAAGTGGTAATGAGAATTTTTTTTTTGCTGGTTTCTAAACAGACCAATTTTTTTGAAAATTAGAAAACTGTTTATGGTGGAGAGCTTCTTGCGCTGCAAAATTAATTTAAATCAATTTTTTTTGTTATAATTTTTAAATTTGTAAACATTTGTACATAAGAAAAAATTAATTTATGGGTTTCTGCATACATTACAGCGTGAATACTTTAACTAGGAATTTATAAATGAATAGTTATACGCTGCGAACTGGGGCCTTTTATATTGTTTAAATGTTTTCGATCGGTGTGGCGGATTACAAAAATCAATTAGAAAAATTACGTATTTTATAATTTTACATTTTTATAATTTTTAGATAAATTTTGAAAATTATGTACACTTACAAACTGTTGATTGTGACAATTAATAATATTAATTACAACTTTCGTGATATTTTTCCACCGGTTCACTTTCAATGAAAGTACCACGTCGCTTGATTGACGACATGAAAATTAAATGTATTATTTCAAATCCAAGCTGCGGTCACACTGTGTGCTACGAGAGGTAATAAAAGCTAAAAAAGCACAGGCACTATACATATGGATGTCGAAATATACATGCATATGTACATAAGTTTTCTGCATATTGAAAGCAACATTTTATTCACTTCTGACTTGGTTGTAGATCTTTTAAACCTATAGAACTGAATTGTTAATATTGGGCTATATTCGAATTCTTGAGCACGTTTATAACCTTTTTATAAATAAATATACATATATATGTATTTACTTACATACTTACGTCGAAGTAATACATATGTACATATGTAAATAGTATAAAAAGCGATAACGGGAACCTTAGTTAATAATTTTTACACAAAGTCTTAAAGTCATACGTATGTATGTACTTACATACCCACATCTGTACATACATATGTACATATGTATGTATGGATGTGTGTGCATTAAGTTGTCGCGTCAATGCATAGCCTGTTCATTAGCCCTTCCGTACATTTGTTCATATGTACATATGTATGTATGTATGTATTACCCCCCAATAAAATATCCAGACTTCGACTTTAACATTAAATATGTACATACATATAAACCTCTGCTTACGTTTTTCGCTGCGAATCGAAAAAAGGTTTATTCTATTATATTAAAAGGTTACATATGAATATAGTACATCTGTAGTTTTATTAAACTATAAGACGGAAAATTAAATACATATGTACATACATACATCTGTACATAAGTATGAGCTATGTAAGTGCAAATGAATATATGTATTATAAGAATAAATAACTTATCCCCTTTACCAAAATAAGTCTCAACAGTCCGCTTACAAAAAATAAAATACCCTTGGAGGGTATTATAATTTTGGTTAGCAGTTTGCAACGCACTGAAGGAGTCATTTCCGACCCTTCAACGTAAAGCATACTTAAAAACCGCAATAATAAAAACAAGGAAGGAAGCTAACTTCGTTTCGCCAAAATTTGTATACCCTTGCACTTTCCAATAAGATCATTAAAAATCAATTCACTTTGGTCAAATAAAAAATAAAACTAATAGTAGATATGTTTGTACAAACATATATAAAACATGTACATATGTTTGTTTTTATATGTCGAAGAATTGTGTTTTTTTTCCGTCATTGTTAAACTAACCAGTTTTGTCCGTCTGCGCTGCCTAAATTCGTGAAAACCTCACTGAGTAACAGACTGTCTTCTGTGCTTGTTCTGTTACCACGTTCAACGCTCATTGCGCCAGCGCGCCGGCGACACTTGCCAATCTACAGGACCACGAAGATCCGAGAATGTCAAATAATTCTGTTGCCATTCTGAGCACATGCCTCAGCAAGACTGAGGAGTTTGCAACCAAGTCCAAAGGGTCGGAAATGTTTCCTTCACTGCGTTGTAAACTTCTGACTGAAATTATAATACCCTGCAAGGGTATAAAAATTATAACTTCGTTGTTTTTCAACGTATTTTAATCTACTTTGACACATTATAATGGTGAGAAGGGGGGTAATTATTTTTTTGTTCGTAATTTTTTTTATTTTTTATTTTAAAGGTTCAATATCTTAAGAATATTGTTACATCGATCAAAGCTAAATTGACGAAGTTATGCAGAGTTGAACGACTAACCATACAACATATAGACTACTCATTTCATACAACGAAAATGGACACAACATTTCTTAGCGACAGGCCCCAGAGCTGTTCGCGACGGGCCCCGAAGCTTCGTGTGCGCTCCGGTTGTTCGACCTCTCATTCTTATGCTCGCACACTGACTGCGAGAGTTCAGTCGCAGTGGCGCATATTGAGAAGGTTGCTCTGCGCTTGAATTCTTCTTTATATGTATGTATGCGTATTCATGCATTCACGTACACGGGTGCATGTGTGCGATCATTTCATTTCGGCCCAGCAAGAATATTTGGTCTTTTGCTACTTTTCGTGCTAGGTACCCTAACAATATAGGCATATTCACTATTGGGTTAATAATAAAAATAAGAATGTTATATGTTATAATATATTTCTTAATGTTTCAGCATACATTTCATATTTGTTTACAAATTCAAATCACTGGTAGCAGTGAAATGATTTGCATATACATACATATGTATGCATTCGAATGAATAAAAATCCACCTACTGAGATAGGAACAGGGCATATTGCAGTCGGTGTCACCTTAAACACCGACTGCTCTTATGGGGTTAAGGAATCAAATCAGCTGTTATTGTTGTTCTGCGAGCGGATGGTGCCTGCATACCCTACGACGATTGCTTTTTAGGGGACTAAATAAATAAAATAAATAACAAATAAATCGAACAACCCGAGCGCACGCGAACAGTCGCTAACAGCTCGAACCGATCGCACACGAAGCTTCGGGGCCCGTCGCGAACAGCTCTAGGGCCTGACGCTAAGAAATTTTGGTGTCCGTTTTCGTTGTATGAAATGAGTAGTCTATATGTTGTATTGTTAGTGGTTGAACGAAGGTCGTTTGGTGTATGAGAAAGTATGAGAATCCAAAAGTTTAATTCGCTTTCCTGTAAAGTGCCATTTTGAAAGTTGGTGTACACGATAACTCAAAATCTACTGGACCAATTGGTTTGAAATTTGGAACATAACTTCTTTAACCAATTCTACAGGTACTCATGTCAAGCTTTTTTCCTATTTAAATTTTATTTTATTTTTTATTTAACAACTTAACTTAATTTATTTTACCAAAAATCGTAGTTTTGACTGCCGATTTTGATAAAAATTTTTAAAAATAACAAGAAAGGAAGCTAACTTCGGCTCGCCGAAGTTTGTATACCCTTGCAGATTGGTTTTGATATTTATATTATAAATTTAAATGCTTAAAACACACACAAAACAGAGTTTCATTACATTTTACCTAGACAGTTTACAGTTTGACGGTTACAGTTTTACATTCCCAGCCTTACATTTTCTCTACATCTACCGATCGCTTCTATGGCAGCTATATGATATATGTAGTTGTCCGATTTTTATGAAATTTATACCATAATTCTATAATAAAAAAAAAGCTTATATCTCAGAGTAGATAAACATACGTTGGAAAACAACGAAGCTATAATTTTTTTCCTATTTATTTCTCGATCGTTCCTATGGCAGCTATATCATATAGTCGTCCGATTTTCATAAAATTTTAACCAAAATTCTATAATAATATAGAATGGCCATATCTAAAAAATTGTGCAAAAATATTGAAAAACAGCAAAGTTATAATTTTTTTTCTAAAAATTTATCGAACATTTGTATGGCAGCTATATGATATAGTCGTCCGATCCGGCCCGTTCCGACATATATAGCAGTGAGAGTATATAGAAGACTATATGCAAAGTTGTATTCAGATAGCTTTAAAACTGAGGGACTAGTTTGCGTAGAAACAGACAGACAGACAGACGGACAGACGGACAGACGGACAGACGGACAGACAGACAGACGGACATGGCTAGATCGACTCGGCTGTTGATGCTGATCAAGAATATATATATTTTATAGGGTCAGAAACGTCTCCTTCACTGCGTTGCAAACTTCTGACTGAAATTATAATACCCTGCAAGGGTATAAAAACGGCACGTGAGTACCTCGGGACACTTATCCTTTAACTAACGAAAATAACACGCAAATAACTGTTGACAGATTCGAGCGATCGCAAAAAAAACTGTTATTTTCCTAGCATTAGAGCGAAGATCATAACTCGCAAATAACTGTTTACAGATTCGAGCGATCGCAAAAAAACTGTTATTTTCCTAGCATTAGAGCGAAGATCATAAGAGCAATTGGTTTTATACAAACTTTGCTCGCGATCAGCTCACAAGCTGTTTTTTCCGCTCTCTTTTGCTGTGCCCATTCACGGTACGTTTGCTCTAGAGCGAAGAGTCAAAAAGCCTTTTGCGCATGTATGTGTGTATGTGAAGTTTTCTTTGAAAACGCACATGCGTATGCGAAGTTTTATTAATTATTCGCGTTGTTGATCATTAAACATAAATCTGAATAAATGAATTAAAAGAACACTTTATTACAGACAATAAATAACCCGGACAAACATTTTTGATCATAACTTTTTAAGGAACTGCATTTGAGAAAAAATGCAGCTACACAACTATTAAATAGGTATTGTGTTAACATATATTCAGCCGGTTTCAAAGTGGCTTCCTTGGGCTGCGATGCAGAGCCCTAAACGTTTCTGGAAATTTAGCGCAATGGGCCGCAGGTCTTCTTCCGATAATCGATCCCATTCTTAGAGCAATGATTGCTTCAGCGCCTCCAAACTTATGTGGCGTTTAGCACATGCCCTGGACTCCAAAATAGACCACACACTGTAGTCCATCGGATTAAGATCTGGCGAGTAAGGTGGCCATTCTCTGGATGTGATAAAGTCCGGAAAATTGGCTTTGCACCAGTCCTGATTCAATTTGGCTCTATGGGCTGGCGCTGAATCCTGTTAAAACGTCCACTTCGTATCACCGAAGTGCTGCTGGGCCCAATGAAGCACAACAGTTTCCAAAATGTCCCGGCGGTACACTTCCTGATTGATTTTGACCCCTTGATCGATGAAAACAAGGGGTGTTTTGCCGGTGGCGCATATTCCTCCCCAAACCATTAAATACTGCTCACATTGACGGCGCTCGATTATTGCAGAGATACCTGGAGCTTCAGCCGACCAGCTTCTGTAATTTTGATGATTGTGCGCCTGTTGTCCGTGAAGAGAATACGCTCCCATTTTTGACCTGCGGCCCGACGCTTTAGCTGACGGCATCTTTGGAGTCTCACGCGCTTATTGTCATCCGTAAGAAGCAGCACTATTTGGAGCTTGTAGGGCTTGAGATTAAGTTCATTTCTTTGCAATCAACCGAACACTTTCTCTATTCACTCCGATTTCACGGGCTATTTTTCTGACCGAGACTCTGCACTTCCGAGTGATCCGCTTTTTCAGGATCTGGCGAATTCTGGAAGTTTTAGCGGTGCATGGTTTGCTTCGTCCGGGACCATTGCCAAGCTCATTAAAACGCCGGAAAGCGTCAGAGACCGTTTGTTTTGGTATGCCAAGCATACGAACAATGTCGCATTGGCGATTTCCTTGTTGAAACAGTTTTAAAAATGCACATCCCGAATTAGACATCCCGAAACAAATATCAAATTGATGGAAATCACAAAAAAATAAAATAAAATAAATAAAATCATTTGCGCCGACCTTTTCAGCGAATCTGTCTTTTTAAAATCGCCCTGAGTGAGCGTCAGTCGCATCAATCGTCGGTAAAAAAGCGGTAGAAGAGCGCCCCTTACGAACAGCTAACTTAAAGCAATAAACTAAAAACCAAAGCAAAGAGAAACGACGTCGGCTGTTAAGTGCAAGAGCGAAGATTCATAATTTTTTTCTATTTTTCGCACGAGTAGTGCGTATGGGAAAAACTGTTAACAGTTATTAGAAAGCATTGCTAACGAATTGTAGTTTTTTGATATCAGATGCTTTTGTGCACAGTTAGGATGTACACTGAAAACCCATTTTTTTTTTAAGGGACTCCCTATTACTCATTGACCTGTAAATATTTTTTTTATACAAAAATTTAAAAAATCTATCTTAGTGTACCTTCTTACCGACCCACCGACAGAGCATGTCTCTAATTTTTTCTTTGTCTAACCTTTCTTTGTGTCATGTGGTGGTACCAAGACCAAAAGATTGATCTCTACAGATTGGCATCTCTTAAGGTCTTGCATTTGCTGCATTACTAACGG